CACAAAGACACGTGTCTCTCCGTAATTCTGTGTGAGCAGCATAAACTTCAGTGACCCCGCTGTGCTGTAAACACTCATTACGTCCGACTTTTGTTCGCAGGTACAGTAAGAGCTGTCACGTGGACATTTCATCCTATTACCTATGATGTTATCAATGGGTAATGGTCACACGTCATTATTGCTATTATCCACGATATTTTTGCAGATAAGAAAAGTCGTGTAGAAATGTCATCCTGTTAACAGTGCATCATCCATAATTGTTTACCCTTTGTATAACAGGACAAAATTTGAGAAAAACTCACAGATAATATAATCCAAGATAATGCCCCCCCCCCCCATATCGCTGTCAAGAAGGAGCGTTCTGTATAAATCAGAACAGTTTACGATCACGGTGTGATGGTCCATGCCTCCAAGCTAGCACCTCGGAGACAAGGGTTTGTGTATCTAGTACATCTGTGAATATCCCAAATCCGCTCTCTATAACGGTGACCAGCAGTATGGAAAGTTTATCAAGCAGCGTTTGCGGAACTTTGAATGTCATCCCCTTCTGTGCAGTTTATCCAGAAACATTTTGTATCTCTCACATGTCAAACATTCATCCATGGAATTTGCTAAAGCATCCCAATGAAAAAAAGTACTTTGCCTCAGTATGGATTTCCCAGATGCTTCCTATGTGCGCAATTGTATAGCCACTTATTTTCAGGTCTAATAGCCAAAGGGCAGCTTCTGGGTGAACTGAATGGATGTCTTCAATGCCTCTGCTGAATTCATGAAGTTCAGAAGCGAATTCCCTTGACTTATTCTGAATTACAAGTGTACTGCACTAATGGTGTGATAAGCCTTCAAGGTATACTTTCGGAGTGCCACGGGCAAGACGGTGTATAGTGGGTTGGTATCTCCTTCGGTGGAATTATCCGACCAGCGCACCTCGGCCGCTAAGCAGCAACACTCTGTGAATACTCCCTCTATCCACCCGTACAGACGTGAACAACCTCCCACTAATACGCCTAGAATCAAGTCAGGCATTCTGGAACACATCATTCTAGACTGTTGGAGGAACAATTGGGAGAAAGTAAACGTCATCCCGAATTAGCAGCTCATTGAGAGTGAGACCATCAGGCAGCCATTAGGAGACGCACTGCCCCACCAGTAGTGGGCTGCCTCATCCACATTGTATCCGAACCGGCCACGGAAGGTGCAATCACCTTTTGCACAAAGGGAAAAAAAAAATTCACCCAAGTGTGACAAACAGTGGGACAAGCACACAAGTGGTTTACACTCACTGTCGCCTGATGCTGGCAGTTGGATTACAACCTAGACATCGATTCGCCCTTGCTACTCAATCCATATCGATGCTAAATAGAGAGGGTGGAACTCGTGGTGTTTCACAAACCCTGGATCATGCAAATTCACAATGAATATTCATAAATGTCGGAGGATAATTCGATACAATAGGGAATATATTGGCATGTGAGAGATATGCCACCTTGAGATATAAATATATTAACTGATAAGATATGCAAATGTGACCAGTCTATGTGCTCAAAACGGCATCAATGCAATATTAATGCATTTTTTTTACCAGCTATCCCGAACATCGCATGTTTATGATATTTTGTTTTTATATTCCAGGGTAAACACTCTATATTTTACTATACGATGCATTCATGTGTTCATAGAACATTCATTGCCGATGAAACTATGTATTTCTAGATTTGAAGCTTTCGTGACGTCAAGGATTCATACTCTTAGTTGTTTACGTAAAGTCACGTAGGTAAAAAAAAGATTTTTTTTTATTTTTTTATTAATTTTTATTTCATTTTTTTACCTACGTGACTTTATCTAAAGAACTAAGAGTATGAAACCATGTAATTTGCGATGCGTTTACACTCCAACGTGCTGTGGTGTTGTCACATCCACAGGAATTGAATGATCTCCAAGCATCGCTTTGCTCAGTAATGCGGTCATTGCGCCGTCTGCTGGCCACAGTGAATTACTAACCAATGCATTGGCATTACATACAGACGTAATATTTTGTTGTGTCACAGTTATATGCGACAGCACATCATCATGAAATTTTAACAGTCTATCATTGTTGAGATATTCACTGACCATTTACACTGAATGAGTGATGATCAGCGGACTCTACTAACTCATTCGAGGCTGGGAGGCTCAGGACTGATTCAGATAATCGTCACTAGTGTTGGCCGTAAGCGTGTCGTGCCGGCCTCCATAGGTGCTCACTAACAGCACTTGCCTCAGCAGTCTGTATAAGGCTATACGGGGATCTTTGTTTGTGTCTACTAACTCACTTTAAGCCAGTGGGTAAAAACGTGCAATTTTGTATTATCCAGGTACTGTACAAAGAGGCCCACCCTGAATCGTAGGTTACGTCTATGGAATTTTACGATACAAAGCTTACTCTTTCCCACCTGATGACGGACGCTTGTGTTGCGCCCGAAACGTTGTGATTTATTTCATTTTATACCAATGTGACTTTACCGAAAGAACCAAAGACTAGGATTCCTGCAGTCACGAAAGCTTCAAATCAAGATTGATACAAAGCTTTCAATTACTTGGTGATATGTTTTTTGCGAAGACTACAGGTAAATTGCAAGTGCATTGTTAAACGTGGTTGGGTTTGCTTATTTTTGGTATGGCTTGTTGCACTGCCTAGGCAAAACTAAATAAATGTCGACAAGATGTATGCATCCATAATACAGTCACACGATTGTGCGCTGGGAGAATCAGCGCGTCGGCATACCCCGGCTCTGTTTTGTTTCGAGGTCATTAATGGTCGATATGTGATAGTTTTAAGTGTCTTCGTGCAAACAAATCAATGCGTTTGTGCAATTTCTAGTAACTTAAAAAAAAACATGTTATATCCATTCATCCCACACCACAAAATATTCAAGTGTTTTCTGGCTACACTTTACCTATCACAAATAGGCACATTATTACGCAATTATCGAAGCTCACGGCAATGTCCAATTATGTGTCTTCATGCCGAGTTATATTATTTTTCCACTCATCCTACAATTTACGATGAAAGCAATCTGTATAATTTATGTAAGTGTGATAATGCATTGAGCAAATACAAAAAACACATGCGTGTCATTTACACTACTTTCTAACAGGAAAACATATACAGCAGACTGACATTTACAGTCATTGCCCTTGTTCAGAACACAAAGAGAATAAACTCCCTGTGAATGTTCCCTTCATAAAGAACGTGTGTCTTTGTTTATGCCATTCTTAATCAAGAGGCCGTCATTAAACTGGATATGCATTTGGAAGGGAAATCAGTTTGCTTTAATCGGTCTTTGCACCCAAATTTTTTTTCACGGGTGTTAACTCTTTATATGTTGTTACCAAAAGTAAACCCTTATAGTGGATCAATTGATCAGCAAAGGTCACATTTATCATATGTATGCATTCTTATACTTTTCACTGGGTAGAAAAAAATGCCATCAAATTTGACAAAAAAAAAATCTCCATCATAATCCGAAATGGAATGATGTTATTCTTGACCATTCGCTCTGGCTTCACAAGTTGAAGACAAACGCCAATTTGGGTGCGCAGGCAAACGTGCTTCCCGGGCAAGGCTGTGGCCACCGGTGACAGGAGCCCAACTGCGAGGGCCACCGCGTGTGCACAGTGTCGAATTGCGATCCCAAGACAACCCAACACGACGGTGCTTGGAACATTCCGCGGGGGTTAATTTAGTGATTTCTTTTTTTTAAACAACAACCAAACGAGAAAAAACAAGGTCACTCAATGTCCAGCTTTGCAGTTTCGTGTTACATTCGCTCAAAACAGATGAATAGTATACAGTTAAAACATGAAGGTGTCATCTATTGTATGGATTTAACATGCTTCGCGTCTACGTTTTATATTTCGAGCCAATTGTTAGAAAAAAGAAAACACTGGTTTGCTGCAACAAAAACACAACACGATTTGAATTCTATTTTAAGATTTTGCCATTACATTTGAGCTTGGCATCGAGTCAGGTACTCACGTTAGGACTATTGTAAGCTGTAATTTATATGAAACGATTTACATTATAAGAACAATTTGTAGTGTAATCACGTTTAATTGCCAAGAATGTTTTGCCATGAAAGAGTGTAACGAGGGTATTTAATTTAGATTTTTTTTTGCAGTGGCCAAATTACAAATTATCTACAATTAAGTCAACAATCCATCTTACAGGTGCAGTGGACATAATGATACAAAGCTGCCACCCACAGGGCATATTTGGGGAGGGGGGAGCGGAAGGGCGAGCTGACAGGCGAGCAAATTGCCCCGAAACCTATTCCTCAATCTGTGCACACACTCGCACATGACGCACACAGTGATCGTAGAAGATTGTGACTGAATAATTGACGTAAATTATTATCATGTCGTAGAAGAGGTATAACAACAAGAATTTAACACGAACAAGGTCGAGTTTATTTTAACAGCGATACATGTTTTAAATCCGAAATTTTTCCAATTTTGTCACCCAGAAATTACAGACAAGAGGGTCATCTCGTAGGGAAAGAACACCATAAAAATCCCCATTGCAGCCCCCCAGAACCACGACAATCTCCGGTGGGGATGTATCGCTTAAGCCAATACAAATCGGGAAAACCCCCGCTGCTACTAGTGCTGCTGGAAACACACACTCCACAACAGTAAAGATTTACATTTGACTCTCACCATGAGCGGTCAACTGTGGTCAACATGCAGTTAAACAAAACAAATATTAAGATGTTCTAGTTGCAGTGTGTTGTCAAAATAACTCACCGCATTACTGCGCTTGACTCACCATTAACATCACTTGCTCTCACACAGTCTATATGTAAAAGCCAAAACTTGCAGAGCTTCTTGCTGATAAACGGTCACATCCGAGTGGGGGGAAAGGCGGAGGAGGAGGGGGAAGGTCGGAGCGGGAGGGGAGGGGAGCAGGCGCGATGTATAAACACAGCTCGCAAGGGCTGCTCCTGCAGTTGGACTTTCAGTCTCGGCTCGTGCGCTTGCTTTCACGCGGCGATGTAAGTTGCAGCGTGTTGACGGTGTGAAGCTGCATTCCGAATTGATTTGTTTCTCTTTGTGAATTGGTGTGCTATTCGTGCGGAAGACAAACATACATTTGACGAATTACGTTACGACCAATTGACATCGTTTGATTCCGTGTATCACAGAAGCCTCTTTTCCGAGAAACCTGTTCGCTACTTTCAGCACCTCGGACAGCGCACGCGACCGCACTGCGTGCCGATTGATTGCCGAGCACTGGTCAGCTGCATTGTGTTATCGTGCACGGTGTTAGCCAGTCGAGCGCGGTGGGTTAAGGACCCAACCGATGTGATTTTGTTTCGTTTACGCGCCACTTACAACTGTCGATCGGCAGTCTGCTCAGGTGGGAAACAAACTTCACGCCAAGCTCTCAAGCACCCGCGCTTTCGGCAGACGAAGACCCGTTGCAGGTGTCAGTCAAGTCGCAGGTATTTTGCTCATTCGCAAGGCGATATGCGTCGGTGAGTGGCTGCCCCGCTACACGCGGCAATTCACGCTCTATTGGTATTGTTGTTGTAGGTCTCAGAGCAATCACAGAGCAACGGACAAAGGGATCCAAATGGAGCCAGTGTCGCTAACCGGCGTGAAGACCTCTGCGGGCGCGAACGTCTCCAAGTATAATGTCAACTTCACAGCGCCGCGATACGTGACTCTGTACGACATCGACGTACCGGCTGACGGCTCAGCTGGCCTTCGGATCATCATCTCCATAGTCTACTCGCTGGTGTGCGCCCTGGGACTCGTGGGCAACTTCTTGGTTATTTTCCTCATGAGGAGCAAGCAGCGGTGGCAGAAATCGGCGATAAACACTCTGGTGTTCGGGCTGGCAGTCACGGACTTCCAGTTCGTGCTCACTCTGCCGTTCTGGGCCGTGGAGGTGGCGCTGGATATGACCTGGCCATTCGGGCTCGTCATGTGCAAGCTCATCCTGTCGCTGACCGTCATGAACATGTACGCGAGCGTCTTCTTCCTGACGGTCATCTGCATCACGCGCTACTGGTCCATCGCTTCGGCCCTGAAAGCGCGGAGAAGGCCCGCGGCTTGCACGGCCATGTGGCTCAACCTGGTCATCTGGCTCGCGGCTGGACTCGCCACGCTGCCGCACGCCATCTACTCCACGACGGCGGTCGTGTCCAGCGAGGAGCTGTGCCTCGTCCGCTTCCACGGTCCCGTCAGCAGCGCGCAGTTCTGGCTCGGGCTGTACCATCTCCAGAAGATTGTGCTCGGCTTCGCGTTGCCCCTGCTCACCATCAGCGTGTGCTACCTGCTGCTGCTGCGCTACCTCAAAGTGCACACGCTCAACAACAACAACAACCCCAAGAAGCGGTCACGCGTCACCAAGTCGGTGACGGTCATCGTGCTCTCGTTCTTCATCTGCTGGCTCCCCAACCAGGCCATCACGCTCTGGGGCGTGCTGGTCAAGTTCAACAGGGTGCCCTTCAGCTCGGCGTTCTACGCCGCACAGACGTACGTGTTCCCGGCCAGCGTGTGCCTGGCGCACACCAACAGCTGCCTCAACCCGATCATCTACTGCCTCATGCGCACCGAGTTCCGCGAGGTGCTCAACGAGATGTTCTGGAGAATATCCCCCGCCGCGCTGACGCGCAATTGCCAGATCGGTCCCTTTCTGCACACCGGGGCTCGCACCCGCGAGCGCTGCGAGGCTAGGGTCGTCAACGACATCGTGGCCATACCCCTGCAGCCCCTGGATAGCAGCGAGCAGGCCCGCAACCGGGGCTCGAACCAGTGCCACCGGAGAGACGACACCCTGCCCAGCACCACGGCCGTGCAGCGGCTGTGCTGAGCATCGGAGCTCACGAGGCCGCAGTGTTCCTCGCGCACACTCTGCACCACGCGTGTTGCTTGTTCAAGATGTCACGAGGCGGTTCGACCCGCTGAGATGCATTTCATCGGGAAAAAAAATATTTTATTTATAGACTTGCCCTCGCAATGGGCTTTGTAGGGTATCGTGGTAGTCTATTCATTTTGATAGTGGTAGTGATCCATACGCTCGGTTGAGATACTGCCACGATTTATTACGCTTGTACATCCTGGGTGTGCGTAAAACGTAATTACGGTTGTATTTAACCTCACTAAACTGAACGCATTACGCACACAGATGGCGCATACGAGGTGGGAGCGCGCGCGTATTCTGCTTGTTGTGCAAATGCACGGACAAGTACTGTACTGTACTTAAGCACGAAGCCCATGAGGCTATGACCCCCCCCCCCCCCACGCCGAAATGCGCCCGCTCTCGTCAGATCTAGGAAGCTCAGCAGGTGTGAACCTGCACAGCGCTCGGATGGTCGACCACCAATGCGTAAAGCAGGCGTCGTAGAATGCCGCGGGACTGCATCGTCAGCAGCGGGCAGTGCAGCAAGAGGCCAATGTTGTATTCTACTATCCTTCAACCTTCTAAGCTCACCGCCTTCACGAACGCGTGCTGACCAGCGTGGTGAAGTGCGCTCAAATACCTAACCACATTTAACCGCACGGCCCTCATCCAGCGGCGGATTGACAAAAGGGCTGTAACATGGGCATGCGCCAGTATAATTAAAAACACGTTACTACTGATGCGTGCGATCAAGAGAGCACGCGCTGGGGGTTGACGCCTGCGTGTTGAAACTGCAGGGAGGGGAAGGGCCGGCACAACATCGTAGAAAAAAACACGGAGTCCTACTGTTTGGGGACATTGAGGACGAGTAAACTCATTGGCAAACATTATTCCATCTGTTCAAATCGTTATTATTGAGTGCACTGTGGGCGGGTCTGTTCGTCGATGTAGATCACAGGGTTTGCTTAATAGTTCGAGTTTTGTGTGCATACTTCGTTAAAGTGGTGTATACAGACTTGGCCAACAAAATCTACTTACATAAACATTTATATGGTGGTGCCAAATTGTATGATGCAATGGACTTGCTTAACACCAGTAATTTAACATTGGAGCCATTTGCGTGTTGTGTTTTAAGCAACCCAATCCAATTAATGCCATATATGTCGCTACAGTATATGTCCACAGTGCTTGAAATTGAAGTGCGCATTGCTAATTGGTGTAGCAAGAATTAAGTGTAATGCAAATTGGGAATTTCTGTGAACCCATGAATATTTCTTGTTGGGGCGGTTGCACAGTGGTTAACACGGTCTGCTACAAACCCGGCGAGCCGAGGTCTATGCAAAAACCGGTGACGATTATCTGACTGGTTCAGGGCCTCCTCTAGGTAGACTCAGCCTCAAATGAATACCTGGTGTGGTGTGCAATCATCACCACGAGCGAGACGAAGGCAAGGACCAAATCAAATCGGGTTGTCACGTGGGCATGTGTTGCCAAATGATTGTTTTCCTTTTCAGCAAAAACCGGTTACGTTGAAACGCAAACGAAAATCTTTGGTCAAGCATCACCAGGCGCTCGCAAGAGCTCAAGGTACCTGATGTAGGCGCCACAACGCCATGGGGAAGAGTTATGCAGGTGAACCCGTTTGATAGAGCTGATTGCTGCTTGGTTGTAATTTACAAAGTTCAAATAGTGTAGCTAAGTGAATGTATTTAATTATTGGCGAACACGGGCTATGGGTTAACTCCATTACGGTGTTATTGCGTTCGTTCAAATTGAGAATGGTAAAAAAAAGTCGAAGTAAATCGTGAGTAAATGACAATAATGTAAACAACTTGAGATATTAGTGGAAGGTGCCTTACAAATACATGTAAATTGTTATATCTTCAATGAAGTAGATTTACCCAACTATAATGTAACAAACAATAACTCTCCATCCCCCACCCTACTAATATTTATAACTAACCCTCATAGCTCAAAATTACATTATACTTTGAGCATTAGCCCAAAATAAATCAATTATTGGTCGTCATAATATTGGTTATGAAAGTATAAAACCAATTTATATGATTATACTCTTAACCTGGGTTCATTCGGAACATTGAACACACTCCATGATAATTTCCAATTTTGAAATATTGATTCAAGAAGAGTTTTACAAATTCGTGTAGATTTTGTGCATACTTGAGTGGAAATTCAGACGTTCTGATTATCATAACTAGACGTAATGTTAATGTATTGATTTTTCGGCTTATTTGGAAGCATTACACATATGATTACATCTGTAATAATGTTAATATAGTGTTTTTGTGCTATGTGTTTGTGTACGTTGTATTGCACACTCTAGTATTGCAACATGTGAGTGTGTGTGGCTGTGTGATACTCTCTGTGGAATTGAAATTGCGAAGCCATCAAGGATAATGATAATTATGGTTTATATATATTTAAACCGTTTGGCCTTGATTTGTAAGAGCTCGTAATGCCTGCATCAGTTTCTCCTAATTCAAATCAATATACAGTAGTTGATAGCATTCATGTGATCAATATATACATAGAATTCATCGAGACTATTTGTTAAAGATTTAACTTTTACAACTCAGAATGCAGATGAACGTGACGACAATACAAATTAGAATGAGAAGATATTTTCTGAAATTGGATTTTGAGAAAAAGTCAATGGGAAATGATTAGGCATCTCAGATTGTATAACCACGTGGTCATTAAAACAACCAATGTCAATGAACGATACAAAAGAAAGCCGTAAAGTTTGGTTCAAGATTCATATGAGCAAAATAAGTAACGTACAAGTTGCTAAACAAAATGTAAAAAAAATTGGAAGCACACAACTGGAAAAACACAGCAGAATATATAAACGTATGACAATTATTGAACGTGGATTGATATAAAAAAAATACATCAACAAATAGTGAATGAAAGCAGGATGGAGTGCTTTTGTAAAACTGCAAAAGCGTCTAACGATGCATGTGGTGAAATCAGTTCATGTGCAAAAATCTCATCGCAATTCATTTCCCTCGTGGACACGAACAGAGTGAAATTAATTGTGACATCACAAGACCATGGGAAATGGTGAACGCATGTTCCCAAACTCTTCGAAAAAAGTCAGCTTCATAAAATGCATTTGTCTTGCTTGTCACATTAGCTTCGCAATTATACACCTTGTGGTTATACGCACTGTCGGTTCAAATTAATAATGGATAAGTATTTTTAACGTAACATTGATGGTGAGACGTAATTTGGTCACGAAATAATGTTGTGAATGTTTGTATGCTTCAATTGAACGTAATATTTGTTGTTTTCTTGCCAGCCATCGTCCCGCCAAACTACCTTTTGGAGATAATTAGGTCAATGTATTAAATGTGCCCAGTAATGGCAACGACAGGCATTGTACCGAAGATGGATAACATTTACGAAGAATTCTAATCGGACTTTCAGCACACAAGCGTTAATATAGCCACAGCACCGTCACAGCGGTTGTCTCAGACCCCTAATGCGATGGAATGATTCTACCCCCTCAAAAGTTCAGAGGAAATGCCTGTGGCTCCGCATGTCACATTGATTTTAGACTTGAAGCTTTCGTGACTGCAAGGAATCATATTTCTTTTCTCATGTGTATCAGACCTCCCCCCTCCCCCCTCTCTGTCCAATGCGTTGGCGTGGGCAGCAGTGTGTCGCTTGCGCACAATAGCTTCCACGCCGTCGCCCACCTTTTTGTTGGCCCTTCTCTCCCGATACTTTCCATTCATTGGCTACCACATTCTGATGAGCCCCTCCCCCTCTCCTCCCCCCTCAACTCGCTTTTAAGGGATTACATCTTGAATCATTGCCTCACTTGATGCAGCTGATTTGGCTGTGACTGTCCCACCTGATGACGGAGACTTGTGTTGCCTCCGAAACGTCGTGATCTTTATTTTTATTTTATTATTTTATTAATTTTGATGTTTTACCTACGTGACTTTACCGAAAACACCTAAGAATATGTCACATTGAGTCACCCAAATGGTAAAAAGTTACAAGCCGGTGGGATGACAAAGCGTGCTGTTCTCTTTCCACAGGCGCGCACTGTCAATCGTAGATCTGTTTGAGCAACACTCACGCGTGGCTCGTTTTCACTGAGGTGCTCGCTGACAGCACTCGCCACCACGTCGTTCGCAACAAGTTTGTTTTCGACATTTGGAGAACTATTTATGAAGCGTGAAAGCGAGGTGAGCAACCCGATGAGCGGTTAAGCATGCCATTGACTGTAGCAACTCAATAAAGAGCTAAGGCTGCAAGCTGAAGTAATGAACACTTTGAAAATAACTGCATGTCGATAACTTTTCTCAATTTCACTGTGGGGTTCACGGTGTCTTATCTATTGTTTAACATGTGTGTATATGGAAACGTTTCGTTCGTATATATATATCCAGAGATGACTTTCTCATTAGAATATTTCCAGGAGCCATCGACCTGCCCAAAGCGGGGCAGGAGAAGGCTTGGGAGGGATTATTTTCTGGAGCTCAGCCCCAGAAAGCTCCAGATGAAATTAAGCCCTGGTATTATCTATTCCAAGCATCGCTAGCCGCAAATAGTAAGCATACACACAGGTGGTGTGTTGTTTTTATATATTTCTGGGAGCAAACATGGTCAGCAGACTTACAGAGGTCATATATGGGTAACTTTTTGGCCTCATAAATGGTGGGGAGTGAATACAAATCCATCACATGGCTGGTTATAGATCACTACAAGACTCGTCGTTGTGTATCGGTTGAAAATGTACAAAAAAAACCTATAAAATGTGAATATTACATCGTGAGAGATATGGTTTACAAATACCATTGATATTTATCAATTTGTATTGCCTCATTGTTTTTTTTATCGATGAAATACTTACACTGTTGTACAACAATCGCGTTAGTGTTCTCTGAAGGCCAAATCCTGGACCTTTCTGGAATGCTTCATACAAGCCAGCCGCATGCCAATATTCCTGCTCGCATGGGTTTGATAAATACGTAATAACAGAGTGCACACCAGTTTAAAAGCCAAAAGTAATATGTAATTTGGTTAAAAAACAATCTCATGCGACCCAGAATTATTACATGAGGTTGTCTTCAGGGCTGTTCCGTAAAGTGCCTGTGGCATTGTCTTAAACACCTTGACTGCTACTTTGTCAATCAACACAGAGGCATCTCTGTGATAATTGACAAAGTATAGGTTGTCCACGAAGATGTCATCATCCATTTATAAAATAATTATAATTGGGTTTGAGGTGCGTTTTAAGGTTTGAGAGGTGTGGTTTGAAAATATTGGCAAAGGAATTCATTAAACTCAATCAATGGAGACAATCACAGCCGATGCAATCACGGTGGGCGAACACCTGGGACTCTCTCCAATCTAGATGCGATGTGTGTCGCCACACGCCATGGTGGACAGGCAAAGGATTAGATGGGATGAAACCCTCGTGATAAAAAAAATCTTCACACTACGCGTGTGCGTGTATAGTTTTATGGGGAGCGGCGGCGCAGTGGTTAGCGCATTACGCTATGACCCTGGGCGAGCTGAGTTCGATGCCCGCTCACAACCAATAACAGTGGCAGTCCTGAGACTCCCCGAGGTAGATTCAGCCTTAAATGAGTACCTGGCGTGGTGTGCCATGCTGGCCTTTATAGATCTTCGCTAATTGTACTTGCAGCGACAGGCAACAGGCTATTCGGGAGAATCTGAAGTATTGATCTAGAACAAACCGCTGTCTCGTAATTCTTGAAGAATAGATCACACCTTTGTGGACACCCTGCGCATTCACTAGAGTTCTTAAAGCACTTTTAGAAAACAGTGAAGTTGTCTATGGAAAGAGAGAATACCGTAATTTTGTCGACAGTACTCTTTAACTGGGACTAAGGGGCTATTTGAAAGTGTGTCACAACATACAAAAATACATGTAAATATATATATACTTCACTATGTGTCATATATAAACGATATGTACTTTATACGTAGCTGCTGTATGCTGAGCAACACACACTCGTGAACATTTGTGTTGTAACGTTTTGATGCCCTCGAACTCCCTTCGGCTGGTTATTAAGAAGCAGCGGTGTCACAACGTGTCACGACATCGATTTACTATTGATTATTGAGCTCACAACGCAGGCACGTCAATCGCATGTATGTAAATAATTGTTCTTTCAATAAATACGCTGAACGTAATAGGTTCGCCTGACCCCCTGAAGTTAACCGTGACACTGAATTATGACAAGTGATGGAATCGTTAGGAAATATTTCAATGGGGGAAAAACACGCCCAAGGTTTCCTCTGGGTATCGATCGTACTATTCCGCAGTTGGCAAGAGTAGATTGAGCCATTGCATCTCAGATACATCAGTGTACAATCGGAATTATGTTCCACTGTTACATTAGTTCATTAACTGTTTGCTTCGGGATGGGGCTTAACCTCTGATGTTCAGGTAACGTGTGAATTCCCGAAACATCAATTCAGGATGTATGCATATTGAACTTCTTTCGCACCGTACGTAGCCAACCATGCTAATCAGATGTGCGGGGGAAGGGCAGTGCACCTTTACACGCTTGAACCTTGCGTTCATGCCTCTGCGGTGTGATTTCCGGTTGTTGCGCTGTGCTGTTGGACATGTTGTTCGACGTTTTGCGCCATGTGCTGGGAGCTTCTTCGGTGAATTCATCGCACGCGGAGCGAAACGTCAGACACCGTGCCTAACAGCACGCGGCACAATTAGAGCGCTGGGCAGCACAACCGCTCGTTGTGGTGGTCTACAGTGAGGACTCTCCTGGCGAGATCGGTAATGTTCGAGCACAAACGTTACGAGAGTGGAACTTTGATACTGACTACTATTTTGTTGGGGGGGGGGGGGGGTCAAGTAAACATTGCATTGTGAACCTATCCACAGTACAGCATTAATGGTATTCATGAAACTGCGGTTAACAGAGTGATTATCCAAGTTTGTGGAAGATATGGTAATTTCGTCCCATCTCAGAAGCCATGTAGGTTTGAGCCTGATGAGGATTTGTTGCAGGGGTAGCCAGCCATCAAAGTTTCCCCAACGATGTAGATACAGGGCCGTGTGGTGGCCAAGAGCATGGTCGTGTGGAGTGTCACCTGCTCTTAAGTGAGATCTCTCTCGGTAATTCTGGCTTCCTCACATTTGGCAACAAAAAAAACATTAAAATGCAGGACAATCCTTAAGATGAGTTTTGACACTTGGTGAGGCTTTCATGGGTAAATAATTTGCATTTTTTTTAAAGTCAACAATAATTCTTCAACAATGTAGTAATGTGCACGAATCCTATAACGCAGTTTAAAGGTATACCGGTATAAGACTCACATCCCAAAGAAACTCTATGGAATGAATACTGTCTATTATGTAGGATGTTGTGAGAAAAATAAAATCAGGAGCACGTGCTCCGTTTCTCACGTAGAATGAAGGAGGAAGAAGCTCTCTCTTGGCAATGAAGCCGGCTCATTTAAGGTGTTGATAGTGATATTACCTGCGCGTCAGGAATATTCTGATTTGGAATGTGCTAGTATATTCCCATAATGTAATGGAAACCAGTTATATAGAGATACACAGTATGCAAAAAAGAAAGCGAAGGAGAGAACATGAACTTAGTGGTGTATATTTTGTATTTGAACGTACATTGTGTACAACAACAAAAAAATGTGCATACATTATATATCATAAATACATGTCATCTTGTGCCTTTGGAATAAGGAATGGCCAAGTTGACATAGCATTAGACCATTGATTACATTTTTATATACTAAAGTATTGTGATTTATTCAGTGATAATTTTATATAAAAAATAAATATATACACATGCAAATATTTTCAAATTTTGCACTTTATATATAAACACTTAGAGGCAAACCATGTTATCCTAGAATGCTTCAGCATATTATAATATCAACTAAATGTGCTACCACTCAATCGTTGATGCAGTTGATGAACACAACAACGAGCAGTGTTATAATAAAGTAGATGGATGGGCAATTCATTGCCGTGACATTATAAGTCACTGCAGAATAATACGAGCATTTCCTAATTTCCTCGTAAAAACCACTGCACTTTATATACCTGTTACTTAAATTGCCCTTGGCCATCACTCTCTGAATTGTGGCTCTGTGATCGTGTAATCCATTGTGCATTTGTCCTGGGTTAGTGATAACTGATAAAACATTATTAATGTATTTTAAAACCTAAAACCTGCAAAGTTAGTTTCGCTTGCTGTTGTGCACTTTATTTCTTCATGAATTTCATTGACATTACCATAGGTCAGTGTGTGCAATGCTATAATTGAAGCCATTGTGTGGCTTGTCAGCTTCGTTTTTTACGTATTTCATTTTAGAGGTTAGATTTCTCATGGAATGTTTGACATGGTCCCCAAATCACCCAACCATCTGTACTTTAGACCTCAGCCCCAATCATGTAACACTCGTGTTTGAAGTACATTCCTGTAACTGATACATAATTAATATTATATGGCTACCATGCGCATGTAAGGCAGAGCGTGTGAACAACTGAATTAAGGGCCTGAGAGATGGGTGGAACAGTCAACAACTCGGGCCCCCGCGGTAGCGAGATGTTAACTCCCTCGCCTGGTATGTGGGGTGTGCGTGACTTCCATCCCGACCCTGACACCTGTATATTTGGAGTCTGTATGTTCTCTCCGTGGTCGCGTGGATTTTTCTCCGGGCCCTCCGGTTTTTCTCTCCACATTTAGAATCAACATGCATCGAGAGTATGTGGTTGGTATACATTTCCACATGATAAGCCACTTCGTCGCTTTTGAAAAAAGAGCTATGAAGCTCAGTGAGCCTTACCTGGTAGAATAAACATAGTTTAGTTCAAAAGTTTTAGTTTCACTCGTGATAATATTACCCTCGTGCATGCGTAACATGCCCTCCTCGCTAATACATGCAGATGGCGGACATTGGCACCACTTTGACATTAAGTGGACTCTTGTTGAAGATCATTATCTCCTTGAGTGAGATAGGCGGTAGGCCAGCCCCTACAAACAGCCGCAATCACACACTCCACCTGCACGTGTTCGCCAGTCTTCACCGAGGTCTTCATTAGAAGTTTGGGTGGTTGGAAGGGGGGTGCTGAATCTATTTTCCACATCCTACTGCCTGGCTGCTCCAACTAATGAAAGACCGCTACTCTTGTGATAAGATGTTATGAAAGGTACGGATCATACGGAAGTGTGTTTTTGTTGTTGTTTTTGTGAACCACCGTCGCGATGAGTAGATGCTGAATTTAAGCACGGGGAAATGCACGAAACGAACATGGATGTTCCACTGGAACACGACTTGATTTGTCGTCTACGGTATTTAATCGATGTCCGTTTCATGCCGGGCCGTTTCTTCTTCTTCTTCTAAATGTAACCCCCGCGTACATGGCTAGTGTGTGTTGGTGTTCAGCTTGTGAAAGTGATTATTAATACAGTCGCAGTAAAATCCTCTGCATTCAAGTTGTTGTTCATGTGAAATATAATATTGCAGAACGAAATGAATAAATATGTAATGTACAACGACTGCAATACGTTTTATATGTTTTCATTGCAAATCATTAACTTAACAAAAATTGACGTGAACAAAATAGCACGCGCTGCTGTGTGGCATGTGTACAAGTACACCGAAGGCAATGGTAGATGATTTGCAATTTAGATTGAAGAGTAATTTTTGGGACAAGCTGTCCCATCGTACGTGTTCCACCACTCAACCCTAACCCTCTGGGGCTGATAGTCTCGTGATTACATGAAACAGTTTGCATAAAAAGCCATCATTTCACAAAACTGCATTTCACCGAATGTCCCGTATTGCTTTCACAGCTGTAGGCACGTTTGAAAGTGTGCCTTCTCAGGGTGCAAAATGTATGATAATTGTGTTTTCTGAATGTGTGTTTAGTTTTGATCCTTTCAGGTTCAAGCACTTCATTTCTGTGCTGTATTTATGATCATTATGGAGGCACTTGTTGCTTGTGTGAATTCTGTTCAGCACACTTATGATTTAATGTCCGCACCTGTTTTTTTGCTGAATTATTTTGTGCATGTGAATATCTATTTGCATCCACAAAAAGCTCAACACATTTCCTCAATAATACTGTGGCCTTCAAGGGAATATATATACTAGGCGACATTTCGAGCATTAGCCCTTCTTTATAGCACATATGCAACAATTGCGCTTGTGTACCACTGTACACCTCCGATTCGCTTGGTTGGCTACGTACGGTGAGAAAGAAGTGTAACATACACACTATCAAAACAGCATCAGAAAATAGTGTATGTGGCATTAAGATATGCATCACATCCGTGACACTACATAGCATATGTGTTTGGCATATGCTTGTAACCTGCATAGGTTCAAGCACACAGCAAAGGGTGATGCATGTCTGCCACACGGTCTCCATGTACTGGATACACGTTAGGTTTACGATGCAATAATCAAATCTCATCCTTAAGACTCGACTACGTTTATTTGTATGTTGTACGGAATTGGATCACGTGGCTCTCACATTCACAGCCGCTAAAAGGCGCGACCATTCACAGCGGTGTTTAAACAAACAAAAAAGAAAAATCAATCTTCAATCCCAATAATTAAATTTAATCATCGGGGGATAAATGGAGAGGGGTGTTGTATTTCTCATCACATCCACACCGCTGTGAATGCAACCTAGGGGTGTCCAATTACCGAGCCACAAATCACAACCGGTGAACGCGCTGATGTGTTGAGCAACCTCGGTTGTCGCAAACCGTTTACATGCCTCGTATTCCTTCACCCTCTGACATGCGGCACCTTGCCATTTACTTCAGAGGAGCGCGTCACACATGACAGACCGTGCCACTGTGGCGCAAGACGGATGTGTGCGCGCGCCACTGGTGGCAACGGCAATTCACTTCTCCATGTTTGATAAGAGACGCTCACACGGCGGTCAGTGCTCCAAGCCACACAAGTCACAGTAAGCACAGCCCCGTGCATTCAATTTCTCTTGCCACCACAGCTATCGGAAGGGCTTAGACGAGAGGGAACTTCTCGACTCGAGATAGCACGTGGCATGCACGTGGCATGCTCCTCTATGCAGCCCATGATGGGATGTGCTAGTCGTAATTATGAAGCCAATTATTTACCGATAATTATTGAAAACCTCACTGAGTCGCAAGACCATTCAAGTGTGGCGTGTGGGTGAAAAATGTAATATCGTGGGTAAAAACCCACGCATACAACGGGATAGCACTCAATTATCTGCGCAGCCATATACTGATTCAACCAACAGACACACTCAGCCACGGTAAATAGAACCAAACCAACTGTGGATCACACCCATTATCTACTGCCATCTCCTGGCACCTTGCACCCCTCGCAATCAAACGCGCACAGCACCCCGTGGCGTGCACATCGCTTCTCACCCATCCAAGCAACTTGAGCCAGGCTTGACCCTCCGTAGTTTCTGAGAACCAGCAAAAAAATCGCCACAAGCAGATGGTGGGATAGACTAGTGATCATTCAACAAGGCGGTTCAGCGGAATCTCCAAATGCTGTATATCTATACTCGCACGTCTATTATCCCTGGCTTCACCAACCCGCGATGACCAGCCGTCGTGAAGTATGGTCGAATGATAGCTTTGGGAGGCCGTCATCTAGCAGTAGATTGACACTATGGCTGTATATAGACAGGGTCCCACAGAGGGACTGGCATTGTTGTTCATCCTGAAGAAACCTTCGTCTACGTTCTACGTTCTACCGAGTCTCCAACACGTGGACCTGGACCCAAGCTGTGGTCTGGTCCGTTGTAGCTAGTTACGGTGTAATTAGTGTAGTTAGCCTGGTGGTCACCACCATAGGTCGTTATTCTGTTAAGGGTACAGTCATACCTCGGTATACGACCGTTTTGGAATACGTCGAATTTGGTATATGTCGTGTTTTGACGAGAAAAACATATCTTGGGATATTCTTAGGTTTTTTCGGTTAAGTCACGTAAGTAAAACATCAAAATAAAAATAATAAAATAAAAATCACCGTGATTTTTATTTTATTATTTTTATTTTGATGTTTTACTTACGTGACTTAACCGAAAAAACCTAAGAATATGAATCTTTGCAGTCACGAAAGCTTCAAATCTATAATATCTTGGGATATGACGCGCTTGCTAGAACTTGTATGGGTCGGGATGAGTCACCGTGTACCCGCGTATACCCCGTTCACGACTGAAACCAAGCGCCGCTCCTCAGTCTGCCTGTACAGTAGATCTCGTTCAGTGCACAACTCTTGCTGTAATTTTAACTCCTCTCAGAAAGGTAAAGTGACGTTAAATTGTATTTGTATTCAAATTTATTTTAATTTATTTATGCATGTATTTTAATTTATGTATGCATTTTAGTAATAAGTAGTGTCTAAAGTATTTTATACAACCGCATTAATGTATAATATGCCATATACAATATCATTTCTTATACTCTGGAACGGATTATTTCCTTTCCCTTTATTTCTCATGGGACAAATTCGTTTGGTATACGTCATTTTCGGTATAAGTCCTACCTTCTGGAACGAATTAATGACGTATACCGAGGTACCACTGTAGTTACCCCGTGTGTTGGTGTTAAATAAATGTGTTGCCTCCAAGTGTATGTCTTGCGACTCAGTTCAACTCACCACACTAGTACAGCACACCGTTATGTTGGAGCGTAAACCCACAACATTTATAATACGAGTACGACGTTTCACCAGTAATTAGAACAAGCATCATCATGCAACAAACCTTAATAACTGGCTGTTGGCAGGTTTAACGACGCATTTATATTTACGCAATCTAACCCAAAAACATCTATTACGGATAATATTGGTTGTGAAAGCCTGCGTGTTAAACTATTCCTTTATTGCGTTTCTGTTGATCACATGCCCCGTTGATAGTAATGAACACAACTGTTTAAGGGACATATTTTCCTGTGCAATAACTCTACGAAGTCTCTATAAAGGCTCTTGCCAACCCTGATTTATTAGTGGTTTTCAAACTGCAGTTGCATGGGTCATCATGATTTACGGCAGACTGCTCAGGCCTCGGGCAGACCCTTCAAGACTAAGAGCAGATCCATAGTTCAAAGATCTACGCACACCACTTTGCTTCTCATTGATGTTATTTTTGAGCGACACTAAAAAGAGAATTGAGACAAACTGATAACAGTTGGTGGAGCGAAAATAACCCTCCATCTTTTGTTGTTGTTACTTCTCAATTGACTCATATTGTATGTCAAACTGTGCCCTTTTCACGTGTTGACAATGTGAGTCAATGCCTGGGGTCCGTGAGCCTTCGTACATCTCACCGTGCTTAAAAGATCATGCGATGCTTGGGACTTCATGCTCTGCTGGAAGTTTACCTGCCGAGCAAAAGCTGAGAGGCCTGGTACACGCTTTGGCAGGCTGTGACTTTCGTGTCAAAATTTGTTTTTGAGCTGAAATAATTATTTTGGTGTGAGCTGCAGTTGAGGTTGTTATTAGTGATTGGAGGGATATAAATAATGGATAAAATTTTGACTTAAAACTTTGTGACTGCAGGGATTTCTATTCTCGGTTCTTTCGGTATAGTCACGTAGATAGAAAATAAAAATAATAGAATAAAATACATTTCAATTAAAAATAATGAATTGAAAATAATAAAAGCAAAAAACCCACGACGTTTCGATCGCAACACAAGCGGTCCTCATCAGGCAGAGAGAAAAGAGGGGGCAAGCCTCCAAATGCAACTGCTTATACAGTAAAGGAAAAAAGTATTTGATCCCCTGCTGATTTTGTACGTTTGCCCACTGACAAAGAAATGATCAGTCTATAATTTATGGCTCCCAGGTGTCTTTTATACAGCTGAGATTAGGATCACACTCTAAGAGAGTGCTCCTAATCTCAGCTTTGTTACCTGTATAAAAGACACCTGTTCACAGAAGCAATCAATCAGATTCCAAACTCTCCACCATGGCGAAGACCAAAGAGCTCTCCAAGGATGCCAGGGACAAGATTGTAGACATACAAAAGGCTGGAATGGGCTACAAGACCATCGCCAAGCAGCTTGGTGAGAAGGTGACAACAGTTGGTGCGATTATTCGCTAAATAACTGTCAATCTCCCTCGGCCTGGGGCTCCATGCAAGATATCACCTCGTGGAGTTGCAATGATCATGAGAACGGTGAGGAATCAGCCCAGAACTACACGGGAGGATTTTGTCAATGATCTCAAGGCAGCTGGGACCATAGTCACCAAGAAAACAGTTGGTAACACACTACGCCGTGAAGGACTGAAATCCTACAGCGCCCGCAAGGTCCCCCTGCTCAAGAAAGCACATATACATGCCCATCTGAAGTTTGCCAATAAACATCTGAATGATTCAGAGGACAACTGGGTGAAAGTGTTGTGGTCAAATGACACTAAAATGGAGCTCCTTGGCATCAACTCAACTCGCCGTGTTTGGAGGAGGAGGAATGCTGCCTATGACCCCAAGAACACCATCCCCACCGTCAAACATGGAGGTGGAAACATTATGCTTTG